GCATATAAAACACTTAATTTGACAAAAAGTTTAATGATGTTAAAAATGTTATGTAGTTATGTTATTTAACTATTTCCTAATTTGGTTTGTAAATAAAAAGTTTAAATTATGACTTTTGTTTAATACAAAATGTAAAATGTTTGATGTAATATCCAAATATTCTGTTATTTTGTCAAATCCTATTATTAATAAAATATCCTACTGATATATTTATGTTATTTAATATTTTCTTAACTAATAATTTATTAAAGGTATTTTATAACAAAATTCAGAAGCATTGATGTTTTTCTCTAATTGTTTTCGTTGCCTGGAGTAAGTGGTTAAATCGGAATTATTTAGTTAATTTGTAATATGCGATTATCTTAAAAACTGTTGAATTTTTGGAGTTATTAACAAATAACCTTTTTTTGTGAAAGTAATGTCTCTAATTTTTTTATCACAAATTACGGTAAGCTGAAGGGCAAAAATTTTAAGTGCAAATGTATGCCACATATGTGGCATATATGGCGCCCTCTATCAGTTACATCAAAGTGTACATTAAGTAATCCCTGATATTTAACAGTACCCAATTGTCAATTTTTATACATATATTCTCACAAACATGAAGGTTAAAGCATAAAATATACTTTTAAATTTCCACTTTAACACCCAGTATCTTTCTTAATATCAACATTTTATTAAAGCAATTTGGCTCATACGTAATATTTTAAAGTGTAGAATCTGCGGTTTTTTTTGTACAATTACTTAAACACCCTATATATATATATAATATATATATATATATATATAGATATATATATTTATATATAATATATATAAATATATATATCTATATATATATATATATATATATATATTTATATATAATATATATATATATATATATATATTTATATATATTATATATTTATATATATATATATATATGTAAATATATATATATATATATATATATATATATATATATATATATATATATCTGCGGTGTTTGGTAGAAACATGATAACTCCAAAATAGCGAAAATTCCTGCACAGCATTTTGTTTTTTAATCTATTTTCATTTGATCTGACTATGGTATGTCCATTATGTCAACGGCAAAATGAGCCACGGCTTGGTATAATATCGATAAGTCGCTATTATTCAAATTTTGTTTGGTATAGTCCTGTTAAAATATTATATCATGTACCCGAAAACAAAACTATACAATAACATTTGGTTTATATCTGATAATTATTGGTACTTATCATGTCTAGATCAACTAATATGCACATTCTTTTGGTAAAACATTTTGGTCCATATATGTGATAATTGGTACTTATCATAATTATATCAAATATTATGCAAATTATTTCGGTAATTTTATGCTATGTCCCACTTAAAATCTTTGATTCAAATAAATATTTAAGTGGCATTTTCTGTAAGTGGTAAATAACATAAATATATCAAACTTTTCTTTTCGTTGTTTTGTACTTATCATAATAATTATTCATGAGCATTTGGTCGTATTCCCCGAACATGCCAATTGCATGGTGTTAGTGTTAAAGTCTATCGATGGCTAGTTTAGTTATACTTAGTCAATAGGTCAGTATTAAAGTCAGTTTGTCTAAATATTTCGAAGGCGAATGACGTAGTAAATGCGATCGGGTAATTTGGTAAACATGGCTTATAATACAAGTTTTCGTATTACAAAAATAATTGAGATGTGTTTATTAGAAAATGAACATCTGCTAAAGCTTCTGAAGTAACTTCTGGTGATACTTTTAGTTCTATATCTAGCTATTTGTGGGAACCATCAGATTCTGAACGTGAACATGGAAAAGCGGATTCTGGAGACCCTCAAAACGAGTTAGATGATCACTTTCCTTTGGCGCAAATAACTATAAAAAAAAGGAAAAAAAGGGCCAGGGTCCAATGCAACGGAAATTTAAAAAAGGTCGTTCTAATAAAAAAAGAAAGGGTGAGGAATACATTATTACTAAAGGTAAGAGGATTTCAGCTAAAATTTCAATACCTGTGTCCACAAACTTTAAATAAAATGTCATGAAAAGACTGCCTCTGTTGATCTAAAGCAAATTTTTAGAGACTACATTTGGCTAGTTTAACAGTAAAACCTAAAGAAAGAACAAAGCGTGGTAACTCAGTCAAAAATAGGCAATTTACAGTTATTTATAAGTTGGAGAATATGGATGATAATATCTGTAAATGTTGCTTTTTGAAAGTATTTGTCGAAACCAGAGGTTTCTTAGATGATGTTAAAAAAAAGCATCTTCTACATATATCTAAGTTTAAGAATGCCCTCTAATGACACATGCAAAACCTGTGATTTATTATTTCTGGAGATAAAAAGCTGTGCCTCCGAAGAAGAAAAATCCAAGATTAGAAAATGAAAGCCAACAATACCAGAATGATGCTTCTTTTTATTAGAACATTAGAACAAGAACGTATGCGGAACTTGGACAAGCTTGTAGTAGTTGAATTTGATTTGCAGAAGTGTTTGGCTACACCTAATTTGACATCTAATGTGACTTTCTATAAAAAAAGTGCAATATTACCACAAAACGGACATCTTGTTATGTGTGGCATGAAGGTGTAGCTCAACGAGCAGCTGATGAGATCGCATCTTGCTTATCTTATATTTAATTATGAAAACTTGCCAGAACAGTAGAAAAACTAGTCCTTTATTCTAATACGTGCTACGGTCAAAACCGAAATAATATATTACCGATTATGTTTTTAAAAGCACTTGAAGGAAAGAAAACTCTAAAATAAATTCATCATAAGGTCCATGACCTAGTTTCTAGTTCCATGCTATCATAGAGAGATTTGTGAAAAAAGAAACGCCACAATTTCAGTTCCACAGTAGTGGGTATCAGTAATTAAAATGACGAGCCCTCGTTTTGATGTAAAATTTATGAAACAAACTGAATTTTTCAGATTTCCAAACTTCTAACAACGCATTTATAAAAAGAAATGTTGCTAAAGATAAAAATTCTTTTGTTTGGAACAGCATATTTTGGCTACATTACAAAAACCATAGTTATATAGGCTTTAAATACACATTAGATCCCAACGAACCGTTTCTTTCAATGTTAATGCCAAAAAGAGGCAGGTCAACTTCCATCTCTAATATTTAGATACTTCCAGTTTATAGTGATCCTCTACCCATAAACTTTTTGAAATATAAAGGTATTCTCGACCTACTGCCCTTTATAGATCCAATCTATCATGGATTTTACCATTCGCTTAAACACACTCAAACCAGTACCACATAATATACAAGAAATACAAGAAATTGATCAATAATAGTTTAAGTTCTTTCCTCTTTGACCGTTATCTCCATTAAAATACTTTTTAAATCTCTATATTTTTGATACAAATATGATATGTGCAAATATATCAAAAACAGAAATGTTAAAACATATTTTGTTTGTTACATCTGTTATAGCACTTAATAAAATATTTAATTATTTAATGAAATATATTTGGTTTTTTATTTGGTTGTCTTCGATTTAAGAAACCTTCTGGAAAGTTAAAATTGCCCTACTGAAAAATATGCATTTTGGAGTTAACATATAGTCTCCCAAACACCACAGATATCTATATTTATTAATAATATAATATATATATATATATATATATATATATATATATATATATATATATATTAATGGAGCTAATCTCTCGTTATGAATTACCTTGGGTTTACTTCTTGCTAAAAACTGGATGTCGTAGATTAGATCTTTAGTTTCTGCAAGACATGTACAGTCTTCCCCAGTTTTCTTAAAGTTTCGGACAAAGCCCATCCTTACGAGTGGGATTGTATATTTAAGGCGCGTACAGATATGCGAGCCAAACGGTATACGAACGGTACGCGTACAGCTCGTTGAAAATATATCTACATCGAACGGTTCGCGAACATCTCGCGAGCCATGAAAGCGAAAACCAGCAACGTACACACATGTACGAAATGATTCATTTTATTTATAATTTGGGTACTGATTTGGGTACATTTTTCGTTTACAATCTCCTGGTGGCATGTCCATAGTCTCACCTATTTCGCGCCATGCATCATCTTTTAAGTTTTTTCGGAAATGATCACGGTCTTTCGGATCCCAGAGTATCGTTTTGTTCTTATATAAATCAATTAGTTCAATACATTTATTCTCGGACCACTGCGCCATCATGTAGAACTTGACGGCCGAAAATTATATACTAAATTTAAACTGTTTTTTTATATCTACTTTTAAAAACTATTTCAAAAAAGTTATACTGTACTTTACAATGTAATAGAGTCCCTAGTATAGGCTAGAATAAATTAAAAATTTCAAAAACTTCAACTGACTCAAAAAACAATTTGGAGATTTGTTACAACCAATGAAGCTTTCTTCTACACACATAATAAGTCACGTTCAAAAATGTAAATCAAGACATCATTTGCTTGTTTAACAAAAATAAAAATATGTACAATAAACCGTTTACTGTTTTTTCACGTCTTTCTAGGAAGAACACGTCATTCATACAATGTCGATTTGATGAGACAATAAAATGTTCGCTGCGTTTAGTAGCGCCGTCCAAACTGAACGACGAGCTTCTTTTGAAGTCGTGGAATAAACCGCCACAATTTGGTTCGCGACGAGCAACGAACGAACAGTTCGCGAGCAGTTTTGTCTGCCGTACAAATTAACGAATATTGTGTTCGCGAACCGTATGCATACCGTTCGGCTCGCATATGTGTACGCGCCTTTAGACTCGGTTACCCTTTTCGAAAGTTGTACCAATAGCATGCATGTCGAGCCTGCCCTTGGATTTATCACCTTGAAGCATCGAACTTTTACAACAAAAATAAGTTAACCTTTTACACTTTTTCTTTAAAATTTTTAATGTCGACGTATACTATGATTGTTTAAAAAAATTCACGTAATTGAGCGATTTATTTGTATACCAAAAGTAAGTGAGTAATTAGGGTGTTAACAACTATTCTATATAAAAGGAATACTTACAATATTGTTTTTCTGGCCTTCACATTGAAAAACACACTAAAAACATATAAATATAAATAAATATTTGTGTATAATTAGTAAGTAAAAATTTTATAAAATTCCTATTTACTAAAAGAGAATTACAAATAATATAATAGATGCAAATATTATGAAGCGTCTTATGTCCCCAAGTCCCTCGGGCTGATAAAAATTCGAACTTGGAACCACCAAATAAGTTGACATTTTAGTGACATTAGTTGGAACTTCCGCGTTGTAAATTTGTGTCAGCCTGAGTATTTAACGATTTAAATATAAAAACCAAACAAATACAACAATAATAACATTAATTTGTAACATAGCTTTTTAAAACAAGTGAAAGGTTTCCCAAATATTAAGAAAGCAATGAAATGAATTAATTGCTACCAGCATCTGGAAGTTGATAAAACATAGAAATCATTCGAGGTAACATTAATTAACATTTTACACTTTTAACAATAAAAGTAAAAAATATCTAATTAGAATAGACCAAATATTTGGTCTTACCTACCAAAAGATTATTTTTCGTTCTTCCATACTTTTGCAGTCAAACGGATCAGAAGGAATACCATTTGGATTGTTATCTTTTCCCATTATTTCTTTAAAACAGGCGGATCTAGATTCTTTTTTATCGTCATGGAGTTTGTGAATTAATTCTTCTCCGCAACATAATGGGTGTTTCCTTGGTGGACATTTTTCGTCCGTTGGTGCTTCTCTTCGTGTTCTTAGACTGGGAACATATAATTCTCTTTCAATGTTATCTACTTCATCGGCTATTATTCGATCTGTAATAAAAATATTAATATACTAGCCATAGCTATTAGGATTAAAGTAGCATTTAAGATATTATATATAGATACTTAAAGTTTTTAAGATTTAAATAAATTTAATTGTATAATATATTATAGTTAAATAAAAAAAATAATGGTTAGGTAGAAGTTATGCTTAGATCTCGAAGAGCATGCAAATAACAAAAACCACGCAAACTTTATAAGAAAGTTAAGTAGTGGTCTAGAGCAGAGGTCACCAATTATATTCCCTGAGGGTCAGTTTCAAAAACCTACTACACTTTCGCGGTTCGGACACTTAGCACTAAACCAGGCAGTGGCGTAACCGGTGGGGAGAGGAAGGGTTTCCAGAAATCTTCCAGTAGTTGTAACCCCCCCCCACCCCCTAGAAGATCATCCCTGTTTACGTAGTAGTGGCCTAGATGCCTAAAACCAGACATCTTTTTTTTTCGTCTTTATAGAGGGGGGTCTGGAATCTTCAAAAGACATCTCAGTCCAGGACGCCGCCTGACTAACCTTAGTGCAGGATTCGTTCTTCGTACTCCAGGCGATAGTTCCCCAGTTACTTTAAAATACCCTCTCGTCGCCGAGTCTACGCCCAACGCCTACCTGTTAAACCAGACCATCCTCTGTCATCCAGCGATCCGGAAGCGGAATGGCCGCTGTAAGGCCGGCATCACTTCCGAAGTACTACCTTTATTCATTCATTCTTTATTCCTACACATCCACACTCCTAGTTCGGCATCATTCCCAGAAGGGCATTTCCTCCTTCCCCACAGTCAAACTCACGCATTCTAACTCAAAAAGTGTGACCCACTGTTCTAACTTCACCTTTCAGCATCATTCACTCTACCTTTGCCGTTGGTCCAGCTGTCTTTATTCCTCTTCCTTTTTTTCTGATCACTGCACGGATATAACTGTGTATGTTAATCCAACCTAATTTATTTTCAATCATTCTCTCAATCATTTCTCTCACTGTAACAAAATTCACACCTGTCTCTCTCTCGTAACACTCCTTTTTCGTAACACTCCTTATTCTTGTTATCCTCTAGTGACTTATCCGCGAAACTAAACTTGCGTCCTTGAGCCTCAAGATTTTGCTTTGAGCTACGTCCAGTTTAAAAACTTGATGCTCAAGGGCCCTACGTTTTTTGGTTTTTGTTATTTTTTTTTTGGTGGCTTGCGACGGTTTTTATTATATTTTTTTGATTTTTTTTGATACCAAATACACAGTATTTTGTCTTTGATTTTTATTATACAAATAAAGCAAATGATTGATGAATATAACCTTCACACTTCTTCTTATGCGGCCGAATATGGCGCATAAGAAATAACACATGAAGAAGTGTTGTGCTACCATAAAGCATATGGTATTCGAGCTTAACACCTGTACAATTTGGTACAGGGTTCCAGAATCCTAGAATGGATATAATGAATAAATGGAAGATATGCAATAAACCAGTTGGCTGTAGATCGACCGGTTTCCAAAAGTTGGCTTCCAAAAATAAATACCTTTAACATTGTTTGAACTTCAAATTACACGCCTACTAGTAAAAAATTGGCACATTGTAAATGTCAAAATAAATAATGTCAGAATAAATTGTTCCTTTTATGTTGACAAACACGTTTTTCATTCGGTCAAAGTTTTAATTAATTTATTTAAGTTTATTTCAACAAGAAGTTCATAACCAGCGCAAACATACAGTCCAACCTTTATGGTTTCTTCTAATCCCTTCATGGTTTCTTCCTTCTTCGCAGGATTTGGTTATGAACAAGAAAAATATAATTCGTAATTTCAAGTAATGGTTTGGTTTTTCTACACAGGATTCGGTTATTAGCAAGAAAAATATAATTAATAATTTCAAAAAATCAACCTAAATTTGGCGTTCATACATCGAGAAAGCAAGTATTGTTGGTCCATCAAAATATTTAACAGTTCTCTTAGTAACGGAAATCAACATTAGCTGCTCAACTCGTTTGATCGCCCCATTCCAGTTCCTAACGGTAACACCTACTTTTTTCAGTGCTGCGGTAAATGCAATTTAAATCCCTCTAAGAAGGTCTGGTGCTGTTAAAATACGAAGTATTACGAAGTCATACAAAGTAATATCCTTTTTTCACTTCTCTATATTATAATTTTCTTTATTTTTCATTCAATATAATTTATTATTCCTAATATTTGACTTGATACTGATAAAATGTCAATTGCAATTCTACGTAGAAAACGGTCAGTAATCAAAACAAAATTAACAAATTTTAATAACTATTTAGATGAAATAAAAGTTTTAGACGAGCAGAATCTTCCAGTGGCGGAGTTAGAAATACGTCTTTGTAAAATAAATAATTTAATAGAAACATTTGAAAATATTCAAGATGAAATCGACTGTCTGGAAGATTCACATGTCAAAATCTCCTTTAATTTCTTCTTCAAGTATATCTTACTTTCTTCCACACCATGCAGTTCTAAAGGAAGATAGTTTGACTACTAATCTTCGTGTCGTCTTTGATGGGTCTTCCACTTCTTCAACTGGATTATCATTAAATGATATTCAAATGGTTGGCCCTAATGTACAAAGCGACTTATTTTCAATACTTCTTCGCTTCAGGCAGCATTCATTTGTAGTTTCTGCGGATATAGTCAAAATGTACCTGCAAGTTCTCATTGCTCCTGAACAGCGGAACCTTCAACAGATCTTATGGCGATTCGATCAATCAGAAGATTTATGTAAATATCAGCTAAATACAGTTACATATGGTACTGCAGCTGCTTCATTTCTTTCTACTAGATGTCTTCTACAACTTTCAATAGAATCTGCCTCAGAGTTTCCTGAAGCATCGAAGATAATATCTTCAGATTTCTATGTAGATGATCTTCTAACAGGATCTGATTCTTCTTCGGATCTTTCACGTTTATGCTCCGAAATTACTACCATTCTTGATCGTGGTTGTTTTCCACTTCGTAAATGGGTTTCTAATAATCCTAACATCATCGATAGTATTAATTCTTCTTCTATCTCTTCTACTGATTCTAACTTTCTTCGCATTGGAGAGATAACCAAAACGTTAGGTATTCTATGGTGTTATAAGTCAGATACCCTCATGTATCATATAAATGAACCCACATCTAATTTGGTAACTAAACGTTCAATCCTTTCTTCAATTGCACAAATCTACGATCCTTTGGGTCTTCTTGCACCTTGTGTAATAAAGGTAAAAATATTAATTCAAAAATTGTGGTTGGAGCAGTTGGATTGGGATCAGTCAGTACCAATTAGCATTTATACCGAATGGTCATCATTCAGACGCCAACTTTCACTTCTAAATGAACTTAAGATAGTCCGCAATTTCAAATGCAGAGAAGCTATTAGGCTTGAGTTGCACGGATTTTCTGATTCTTCAGAACAAGCTTATGGAGCTTGTATATATGTTCGTAGTGTTAATTCTTCTGGAGTTGTTTGTGTCAATCTTCTTTGTGCAAAAAGCAAAGTTGCACCTCTTAAGAAAATAAGTCTTCCTCGACTAGAACTTTGTGGAGCTCTTATTCTTTCTAGGTTAGCCGCCAAGGTTATTGATTCATTGACTATTAAATTTCATGATATGTTTTTCTGGTCAGATTCCACTATAGTTCTTGGATGGATCAATACACCACCAAACGTTCTTAAAACATTTGTTGCAAACAGAGTGTCAGAAATTGTCTCCAATACCAATTCCAGCAAGTGGTTTCATGTTGGTACAAAGCAAAATCCTGCAGACCTACTCACTAGAGGCCTTGAACCTTCACTTCTACATTCTTCTAGCTTGTGGTGGGAAGGTCCCAGTTTTCTTTCTGTCGATCCCTTTGACACACCAATTCAACCTGTTCGATGCAATAAAGATCTACCTGAGTTAAAGATAGAATCCATATCAATGAAAATATCACCTACTATAGAATTACTTTCTTTTGAGCGTTTTTCCAATTTCAGCCGCTTGCAGCGCAGTTTAGCATATTGCTTTAGATTCATTCATAATGTAAAATGCTCGAATCATTCACTTAGACAATTTGGTCCTCTCTCGTTTGAAGAATTGCAAAATTCCGAAAGATATGTAGTTAAAGTAGTTCAAAATCAAGCCTTTAAGCTTGAAATTCAAACACTGTCATCAAAGGGAATTCTCCATACTAAGTCTAGCATAATTTCTTTACATCCTTTCATCGATAATGATGGTCTTCTTCGTGTAGGAGGTAGACTTAGAAATTCATTGTTTAGTCAGGATAAAAGACATCCTGTCTTACTTCCTTCCAGTCATCATGTTACCAAACTTATCTTTAAGGACATTCACATTCGATCATTACATTGTGGTCCTCAGCAATTGTTATACCTCATGAGAGAAAAATTTTGCCAATTCATGGTAAAAACACTGCAAAGGCTGTTGTTCGTAACTGTGTAACTTGTTTCAAGGCCCATCCTTCTTCTGTTAATCCAATAATGGGTGATCTTCCTGCAGCCCGTGTACAGCCTTCATTTCCTTTCGCTGTTACTGGGGTCGATTATGCCGGTCCGTTTCTTCTTAAGGACAGGCGAGGACGTGGCTGCAAGACTTATGAGGGCTATGTATGCTTATTTGTATGTCTCAGCACAAAGGCCTTACACTTGGAACTTGTATCAGATCTTTCAACTCAAACTTTTTTGTCAGCCTTAAAACGTTTCATTTCTCGCAGGGGCAAACCCACTCAGCTGATGTCAGATAATGGATCAAATTTTACTGGTGCATTCAATGAACTCAATGCATTAAGTGAATTTTTAAAATTAAATAAAGATAAAATTAAGGATGAATGCAATCATAATCAAATTTCTTGGAATTCATTCCATCTTATACTCCTCACTTCGGTGGTATTTGGGAGTCAGGGGTCAAATCAATGAAATCACATATGAAAAGAGTTTTCTCCAATTCTTTACTGACTTATGAAGATTTTCAAACAATTCTTGTTCAAATAGAAGGAATACTAAATTCTAGACCTC